GTCCCTGATGCTTTGCTAAGCTTGTTCTAAGTAGGTGCTTTAGACCACTGAGCCATCTCTCCAGCCCGACATGAATATCTTTAAAAATACTTTTGTTGAAAAACAAATAGCAATGAGACAGTTTCAAAACTGATTACTGGCACAGTTTTAATAATTAATACATTTCATATTGTCTTAGTAGTGATTCATTGTACAAGATGCAGACATGATATCCCGTCCACAAACACTATTAGAACAAATCTTTCTATTCATTGAATTAATAGAATGCAGTTATATATCTATCTTAACTATTTTGAGCATACAGATACAAAATGGTCATTCATTTTTATCCCCCTTTTTTGGTTAGTTTTGTCAGAGAAGGGCATTCCATTATCATTTAAATAAAACATGGGTATTTTTAAGGAATAAAATCTATGGACCCTCAAGCAAGAAATAGTCACACATGCCCATGTGTACATGCATACATAAAAATACACACAGAAACTCAAACTGTCCAAATGCTGCGTAGAGTTCGGGGAAATTTATGTGTTTCCCAGGGCCAATGAGATAGCTCAGCAGACTAAGCACCTCCTAGGCAAGGGCAGGGACCAGGGTTCAATCCCTGACACCACATGCACACCAGCCGCACTCCTGGGAGCTCTGAGACAACCACTGAGACCAGAGGTGGTGGTGCATGCCTGTAATCCCTTGTGCTGGGGAAGCTGAAATGGGGGATCACTATGAGTCTGACCTGCATAGTGAGACCCAGTATATATAAAATTCATGTGCTTCCCATATATCATCTATGGGTCTCCAGATCTATCTTCTTCTGACTGACTGGAGAAGTTTCTCTCACCTGAAAAAAAACTGTGTTCACAGATTGTCTTTTAGGTCTTGATTGTCTTTCCTTTTTTGCATGTTCTGCTTCACTGAAAGAAAATGGTTGAAGAAGGTTTTGAGAAAGAATCATAGAATTTCCTGATTGGAAGTGATCATAAGTATGATGTGTTACTACAGTTCACATTTACTAAACTATTGTGTGCTTCACTCTGTGTTCGTAATATGAAATCCTCATGACTACATGGAAAAGAAACTATTATAACACAAAATTACCAATAAGAAATCTAACTGACAGGATGAATGATTTGTCCAACAAAACAGAACTAGGGAAGTGTAGTCTAAAGCTTCAAACCTGAGTGCAGAAGTGGTTTTCAAAACTTCCAATGCTTGCTACTGTGTCCTACATGATTGTCTGCCTTCTGCTTTAATCCGTCAGTAATTTCTCTACCTGTATCATTCTTCATGTCAAAGAGGAAGCATTCTGTCTTTGAAATCCTCACACTGAGGAACTGACATCTGACACTGAGCTGGAAATGGCCTTCCGAGGTTTTACCCGCTGCCCACTCACTCCCCTTACCATCCATCAAGACAACCTAGAAACAGCCCCACTTCTACATTCACAAAAACTACTTGGATATTTCACAGCCCTGATGATCCTCTTGCCCTAGTATACCCACATATCATGCCTGAAAAGTTGTGGCTGCTGCATCTTTCCCCAATTGGGTAGTTTCTGTAATACAAATTATTTCTTTATTCTCTGTTGAAGTAGATATCTTATAATTTATCGCTGAAATGAGGCAGAAAATACAACGCCTCCCTCATTTCAGCAGTCACAGCTCTACTCACAAGTATGTTTGACACATGATGCAGTAGTTGTCATATGTGTTTCCATCTGGGCCCTGGAAGGGCTCACCCTCTCTGGAGCAAGCGATTAATCCATTCTTCATTCTCTTTCGGTATTCATGGCAATAGTCCTACCAGGTACAGAAAGGACATTGGACATTGATTTTATTTTTCATCATAGCAGAATAGTCAAACATCTGCACTGATGAAATATTGTGTATTTTTGAGCCCAGGATTTTAATGGGGCTCTTGTAAAATTAAAATTCGATATAACAATTACAACCGTAACAGCATCATTTGCAAAGAAATCAGAATAAAAATACATAATTTAGTGCTACAATATAACAGAACAAGTTTATAAATAAACCTTTGTACAATCAAAACAGAATAAAACAGGTCTAAATACGTAGGTACAAAAAAACTGACTCTACATAAGGCAGGGCCATGAAATTTGATTATGGAAACCAGAGAAAATGTCAAGAATAATTTAGGTGAGACTATTGACAGGAAATAGGATTCTTGGGGGGCAGGGGAGAAACTCACCCAAGGTTTTGCATTTTTTGCCTCATTTTTGTAATTAAACTATAAGATATCTACTAGATTGTGAAAATAAGCTGAGAGATGAAATCAGAAACATGTAGCAGAACATAATATAAATTTCTAAGTGAAGTTAAGGGGAAGATTAGAAGGCAGACACAGAGGCTGAAATGCGTCTTATCCAGAGTGATCTGGGAGTTTTCATCAGAGCTGTATCAAGATATGATTTATGTCCTGAAACATCACTCAGGCTGTGACAGAGGTAATGTTTACATGATTGGATAGGAAAAAGGGCGGAACCCAGGAAGCAAACCAGGATAAATTCATCATCAAATAGCAAGTGCTGATAACTCCTCTAAGGCCTTGGTGATGAATATTGAAATATTACAGAAGAACACTTTTTTTGTGGAATCAAAGTTTGTTTAGTTCAACTCAAGTATGAAATTTGAGGAATTAATTTGTACACACCAGGTATCCAGAGTTTAGCTCAAAAGTAGTTAGCTAAAGGGAACAGATCTGTAAATGATAAAGCTAGTGCCAGAACTCAGTTTTTCAGATCTAATAAGTTGTTTGCATTTGTAGGGCCAGTTGTCCATGCAGCAGGAGTGGACAGGTATCCTACAGCATTGATCTCATGGCTGTCTAAAAGCCAAGGGTTGAGATGTTCTGGCGGCCCTTTGAGTTGTGTTCAGCTACTGTGCCAAGCAGGATTTGACAGGCTCACTCACTTCAAATGAAAGCTTTCTCACAGGTGTTCTTTTCTTTCTTGCGAGGACCTCAACCTTTTCCTTTTTGTCAAATTTCTTTTGGCTGTTAGAAAAATAAGAAGAACACACTAGGATCAGACACAGGCACTGATTTCTGCACACATCTGTACTGATTATCTACCCTCCTGAGGCAGGAGCACCTTTGTCTCTTATATTACTACACATGAAAAAAAAAGCAGCAAAGCAGCCTTGGTGTCAATAATAGGCCTGGAGAATGTGTTTTCTGTAAACTACATTTCTTGCTTATGAAGAAAGTTATCAGTCTTCAAAAACAAGATGTCAGAACTGGAGTCACAGTGATATAACACCCGAGGGCTGAAACCAGCCCTAACAAAGTGCGTTGACTCACCCTGGTGTTCCTGAAAGCACACGAGAGGCAGACAGGCCCTGGCTGTGCTCTTGGGCTATTATTGCTCATAACAGAGACTGTCTCCTTTCATCCATCTGAGCTCTGTCTGCCACTTCAGGCTGTCTTAGATTTCACTTATACTTAAATGTATTGTTTATTCATGCTGTTTTATCCAAAAGATGAGAGGTGAAGCAGATGGGTAAAGGTCCACAGTTTCCATGCACTGATAAGCTGAAATGTGTCTAAATTTGCTTGTACAGTGGAATTGTGAGGTAGGTGCAGCTGACTGTGTTATTTCAACTGAATGTGGTTATCAATCAAAATAAAAGCTAATATAGGGCTGGCAAGATAGCGCAGTGGAATAAGTGCCTGCTTAGGTAGGTGTAGGGACCAGGTTTGACAGAGACCAGACATGGTGGCACACGCCTGCAATCCCAGTGCAGGGGAGGCTGAAGACAGGAGGATCATTATGAGTCCAAGCTGCATAGTAAGACCCTGTACCAAATACCCAAAAAGAGCTAAATATAGTGCTATAATTTGAGCTTTATCAAATAATGTGAGAAACTATGCTAAATTGTGAAAGAAAATTTAATTTTAGCTTACCAGAAATGTTGCAAAATAAACCATAATTTCATGGAAGTTTACAGTGTTTTTTTTTTTTGTTGTTTGTTTCTTTGTTTGTTTTTTGCACAACCAGGGATTGAACTCAGGCCCTTGCACTTGCCAGGGAAGTGCTTATTCCACTGAGCCATCTCCCTGACACCAGAAGTTTATTGTTATGTTGCTGGTAATTTGACTCATTTCAGTGAGCCTAAGTGTTGTCCCTAGTCCCCCTGATGGAAGATGGAAAGCTTATAAACTACTAAGACAGATGCATACATTTTCCAGCAACAGAGGAGCAATTAATGGTCTCCAAGCTCATGTTTGTCAGGGAGTACCAGTCTTAAGCCAGGGAGTTTCACAGAAGCAAAGAATTCTGAGATAAATAACCCAAACACTCCCGTGGCTGTTGCTAACATTCTCCACAGAAGTCATTCGAGTCCTTTCACAATTCTGAGCTGGATTTCCCAGCTATGAAGCAAGCTGGTTCCATTAGGACACGAGCGGTGCCTCCGCCTTGCGTGACGGCCTAGGGTCCAAAACGTCCTGTACTCACAAGAAGGCATGGCACATGGAGCACACATTGCCATGCATTTTCCCATCGGGACCACGAATAGGGTCATTTTCTCTTGTACAGAAAAGTATTCCTTTCTTTGCACGTTCTTCATATTCACTGCAGAGCTTCTGAATAATAAAAGTTAGACAGTTTAGACATTGATCTCTATTACTGACATGTAACTTCGAAATTTTACCTAAGAAACTGAAAAACAAGAATTAAAGATTAAAAAAAAACAAGCCTGCCAGGACAGCCCCGCCCCCCGGGACACACTGAGAGGGCAATTGCAACTGGGCGTGGTGGCGCAGGTTTGTAATCCCCACTCCTGGGAGGCTGTAAACAGGTGGATTACTATGAGTCCGATCTAGTAGTGAGACCCTGAACATGCTGTAGACCCTTCCCTAAAAAATAATAAAAAAAAAAATAGAAAAAAGAATCCTTTCAGGATTTAGAACCATCTAAACTGTTGTAATTTTTTTCTTCTAATGCTCATCTATTCCTGCACAACTACCATTTTGAGAGCTCTTTATTCTTTCTCCAGGAAAGAACCATACAGCAACCTCTCTTGTCTTCTGGATTATGCTCTTTATTATTTCCTACATGCTACATCTGGAGGTGTTAGAATATTTCAAGTTTGTATAATTGGAAAATATTTTACTTTTACTTTCCAAAGGTATGTTTGCTAAGTATAAAATTCAGTGAGGACGGATCATTTTTTTACTTTCAGTCCTTTGAGTTAATTAGTCTAGTTTCTTACACACTTTTTTTTTTTTTTTTTTTTTGTAATGTGGAATAAGATGCTATTAAATTTTTTTCTTCCATAGCTAATTTTTGTATATGCTTCAATGACTTTTTTCTATACAGTAAATTTTGGACAGTTCCATTTTTGTGTATCTTGGTATGATTTTATTCAAATTTCTTGTGCAAAAGAATCATTTTTCTTGGAAGTGTAGTGCTATAGTTTCAACTAAATTCAGAAATTTTAAATCTTTATATATTGCCTACCCTATTCTACTTTGAGAATTCTAATGATATAAATATAAGTTTCTTGATTTTGGCACAAAGTAAACTGTTATATGAGTGATCTACAAATTCTTTCTTCTTCATTTTTATTTTGGACAATTTTTACTAGTATATTTATTTAAGTCTGTAAATAATTTATTTACAATGTACAATCTACTATTAATCTCATGCTATGTATTCATCTCAGAAATATTTCTCTAAAATTACTCTGTCTACATCTTTTATCTTTCACATTTCAGTATTTGTCCACAATTATTAATATGCTATATTATTATTGATTTTCAATAAAGTTAATGAGAAAAAACTGGTCATCTATTACTATTCAAGAAATATGTTGTATGGATATAAATATGAATGTGATTTAGATTTTTGTTAGACAAGTAAAAAGAATAGGTAATCACAATACACAAATGGGTATAACTCAGATCTGAATTAAATATGTACTAGTACAAAGGAAATCTGATTTATGGAATTTCCAAGAAAAATTTCTAATTTGTTCTGTCTTGAAGATGTGTTCAAGATCTTAATGTGGTTAAAATAGTCCACCAAGAGGAATTACTATATGTGAAGTCATAGAAGTATTAAGTAGCATGTTTTCTTAAGACAAACTAATATTTTCATGAACACAGTTGCAAAAAAAAATTTAGTTGGGTAAAGAAAAAAATGTTTAGAAAGTGGTCAAAAAGAGATCTTCAATAGCTCAGCAGACTGAAGCACCTGCTTAAGCAAGCTTAGGCAAGTGCAGGGACTGTGGTTGGATCCCAGGTACCACATGCCACACCAGCCCCTTGCCCAGGGTGGATTGAGCCTGCCAGAGTCTGGACATAGTGATGCATGCCTTTAATCCTAGTGCTGGGGAGGCTGAGAGCAGGAGGCTTACCATGAGTCCAAGCTGCATGATAAGACACTGTAACAACCAAATACATTGAGAGAGGGAGAGAGAGAGAGAGAGAGAGAGAGAGAGAGAGAGAGAGAGAGAGAGAGAGATCTTCAAACTGATCAAAAGCAAACCACTGGGGCTGGAGAGATGGTTCAGCAGAATAAGAGCTTATGTGGCAAGTATAAGAGCCTGAGTTCAATCTCTGGTTCAGGAAAAAAAAAAAGCAAACCACTAACCTTTGAAAAGAATTGGCATTTTATTCACAAGTGAAGGGAACATTATAAATATTCACATCAAAAAATGACAGAATCAAACTTCTGGTGTAGAAACACTTTTGACCAGATTTGTGTAAAATTTGAGTGAATAGAGATACAATTAGATTGCAACAAGAAAGAAAGAAGGAATGAGAGAAAGGAAGGAGGATGAGAGGGAGGGAGGAGGAAGGAAGGAAGGAAGGAAGGAAGGAAGGAAGGAAGGAAGGAAGGAAGGAAGGAAGGAAAAGAGTGAACAGGGTTTGGAGAGTGGGAGTAAGGGAGAGAGGAAAGGACTAGGAAAGGGAAGAACTGAAAATAAAGGATAAAAGACTAGTGGAAGAACATTTGAGTGCTAAAATTAAAAGAACTTGGTAACCTCAGATTGAGAGGAAGAAGGAAGTTGAAAATGAGGCCAGCAGTATGATAGTGATTTGGAGGCAGAGGGTGGCCGAGCAGAGTGGGCCTTTGTTAAAAGCTGAATGACACATCATACAACGTCAGGCACCTGTAAGAAGGAAGCCCAGTAGCACTTGTACCTATGGTGAAATGGTTCAGATAAACTCTAAGAAACCTTCAAACTCTGGAATTTCCTAATGCCACTGATTTATGAAAACATCTCCCGTTCTATGAAAACCTCATGGGGGATAAACGGATCATGAGAATTGAGGACAATTTAGACTGAAAATATTCAGACTAGGCAAGGTGCTGATGTAGTGCAAAACAGAGTCATAGTATTGGGCACACTATAAATATTTGTGCCAAAGAATGACAGATCCAAGAATGAGTAGGTACCTGAAGACGGTAGCAATAGGAAAATGGCCAGATGATGAATTAAAGGAAGTTTAGAAAGTGCTGTGCAGCATGAATTTTCAAAGGAGCATAGTAAAATGCTACACTGATACTGCTTTTGAAGCTCCACAGCAGCTTTCCCATGACAGAAGTGCATTTTGAATTAAGACAAGGCTTTGATGTATCACTTGCATTTAGAAATGTGTAATTATTTTTCAGTTTATATA